GAATAAAGTTTATTGCACTAGCCATAGGCCATGACATCAATAACATACAACCTTTATAAACACATTCCAATATAAACCAAAACCCATTCAAAATTTAAAAAACTAGAACTTTAACATTTTGCTGGCAGAAACCTAACAATAGTATGTGTCCTCCTTAACCATCTCCCTTTCCCTATCTGGTCTCCAACGAGGATTTTGCTACTCTGTCTCTGATCTTTTGGGCTGCGATTGCAAATGTAGCTACTTTTAGTGTTATATTTTTGTCATAATCTGCTAGCAAGTCACCGATCACGGCCGATTCTTGCCATGCTGCCCTTTCTTCAAGGAGTGTTCCCAGGAGATTTTTTCTGGGATCATTATACAGAGGGCAATGTAATAGATAGTGTGTTAGATCTTCTTTATCCCCGGAGCCACAAATCCAAAGCCTTTGGGCATGGGGGATCCCTTTGTATCTCCCTTCTAGCCAGTTTGAGGGCATTGTTTGGAAGCGCAGGGCTGTAAAGGCTTTCCTCAACTCTGAAGACGTTAGATCTTGAAGATATTGTTGGCAGTATTGGTCACTCTTTAGTCTGGGATACCATGTAGAAAAACCTTGCTTTTTACTAATCTCCAAATTGCCAGCTGCATCCATCTCAAAGATTTTATCACTAATCTCCTTCTTGTCCAGCTGCATTAGAGTTGTTATTGACCCATCGAAATACTGATGGAGCAAGGCTAGCCAGGATTGCACCCATCCTCCCCGTTTATACTGCTCCCTCAGGCATTGCTTTGCTATGCTCTCCTCCTCCATTCCTAGCAATCTCTTCCCATACGAGATGATAAGTTTATGCATTCTGGCCTTAAGTGAGGGAAGATCTAATTCCAGTCTTAACAGGGCAGCTGGGGTCCCAGGGGGAAGGGCTAGAAGAGCTCTTGCAAACTTGTTCTGAATACATTCAACCTGTTCTGTATTACCTTGCCCCCAAATTTCCGCTCCGTATAACATTTGGGGTAAAATTTTAGCGGCAAAAATCTTTATTGTGGGACATACCAGGGAACCTCCCTTTGTTTTTCCAAAGGCTAGGATTGACTTCGCTGACCTCCAGGCAGATAATTTGGCTGCCTCTATGTGGTTCTTCCAGTTACCATTATGTGAGAAGTGTAAGCCCAAGTATTTAAAGCTATCACACTGCTCTATTGAGTGACCATCCAATTTCCAAGTGTGTCTTTGCTTCCTTTTGGAAAATACCATCACTTTGGTTTTTGAGTGATTGATTGTCAGCTTCTCTTGTTTACAAATTCTACTTAGTGACCTCAAAAGTCTCCTGAGACCTATTTGCGTAGCTGACAGGAGCACCATATCATCCGCATATAATAGGATTTGGATTCTCCTATTACCTACTAATGGCGGAAAATGTTCAGGGGAACTCAACTCGGCCACTAGGTTGTTCACGTAGAAGTTAAACAAAAAAGGTGCTAGCAAGCATCCTTGCCTGACTCCTCTTTTAGTTTCAATATTGTTCGATAGCTTGCCTGATAGCCCTAACCTCACTCTTAGATCCGTTCCCGAGTATAGCTGGTGCAATAATAACA